TAATGCAGATATACTCAGCATGTGGGGATAGAAATGATGTGTCTTGTCCCACGCAAACAGAGAATGCCTGAAATAGACCAAATACATGAACCATCCACCACTTTTGGCACCAGTCTAGTGGAAGCTGTTCTAGCACTTAAACCCACACTGGGGCAGACTAATTATTGTTCATAACTTAATGGCATGAGAGAATGTTTATAACAACAATATAAATTAAATTAAAAACATGCTTATGTGGCCAGGAAACCATATTCATCGCCAGGCACAGCAGGCAGCGCTCTGCTGCATCTCTTAGACCAGGCTTTCTCAAACTGAGGCCTAGGGACACACAGGCGGCCATAAGGTACTGCTAGAGGAAAGTAAACATTTAGTCCACTAAATTTGACAGTTTTCATTTTATATTCTAAAGACTGAACAATTTAAAACAAGAATAGGAAACAATATGTATTGTTTATCTTTTCATTATTTTAAATGGGTTCAAGGAACAGTTCAATGGTATAAAATGCTGCTAATTAAACAATAAATCAACAGCCCTAATGTAAATATTAATTTAACATGTTACTTTTTGTTCCATAACTTATTAATTCACGTGTTACATTTTTAAATGCAATTAACAAATGTGCAATATCACACAAGTGCTGTTTGTGTCCAGAACAGCGTACAAATGTAATATTTATTTTATACAACAGTTCAATAAATAAGAATTTAATATTGTGTTATAGTATAGACAAAATGTCTGTTTTCTCCGTTTTGCAAATGCAAATATTACACATTAAAGCCACAGCAGAACTGTTGTGCGTCTCTGAACAAAACACAATTTCTGAATGAATCTGCGTTTTGAACAAATCGGGTGAACCAATGACTCAAAGGCCCATTTATAAAGAGAGCCATTTACTTCATTCCTGAATGAATCTGCCGTTTGAATGAATTAATCAAATGAATGAATGAACGACTTATGCATTAAGACATTTACTGCCACCTACTGGCAGTTAGGGCTGGGCGATAAAACAATAACGATAATTATCGTGATATCATTTTCCTCAATAAAATGATAAGAGTTCGATAAATGTTCGATACAATGTTTATGCGCCAAAAGTGGTACTCATTTGAAGCCACACCGATCATTTATCCGCTCAGCTCAAAGTTCAAACGGCAGCACAGTGCGAGCTCACTAGAGCAGATGTGTTTAATGTGCTAAGAGTCGGTCACGCGAGCACTAAACAGCGATGTGAGATCGTGGGCCCCACAAACCTCTGGGCCCTGTGCACTCTGTCACCCTTTTCCTCCCACTAGCGACGCCCCTGAATGTAGACACGTATTAAATGGATTAAAGAAGTGAATATAATTACAGTCTTTTTTGTGATTAAGTTATAGCCTAGCGGTTTTGCATTTACTGTATACTTAATGTATTTAGACTATATGGTTTCAAGGTATTTGTATGAAAAACGTAGTTACTTTAATTTTTTTTACCATGGTATTGAGGTGCTATATGTGTGGTTTTAACTTTGGTTATCATGATCTAAATGTGTGCTACTATGAAAGACCAAAAAATAACTAGAAAATTGTAAAGAATTCAAAAACGTGAAGTGCTTGTCATGTTCTGACCAGAAAGAGTAGTTTAAAACCACAGTTATCGGTCTGATTTATACAAATTTCAATTGGGAGCAAAAACCTGCCTTTAGAAAAATGTGAAAATTATCGTGATGATTATCGATATCGACTGATATGGAAAATCTTATCGTGATCATTTTTTTGGACACATTGCGCTGCCCTACTATTTCATATTTACATGTTTATAATAATACAAAAATGTAAAAATCTGGGGGGAAAAATCCTTATTAATAAAAAACTAATTAAAGAGATAGTTCACCCCAAAAAGAAAAAAGAATATTAAAAAGAAAAATACATTTTTTTAAAGCTACTTTTTGTGATGTCTATTTCATGCTTTTCTCATGTAACACAATAATGGCTTTAAAATACATTTGTGGGCAATTTCTCAGCCAAATTTGATGATTATTAGATTTATCACAACATTGAGTAATTAATTAGATAAAAAATGTTAATCATCCTAATTTACATATACATATGATTTATTTTGTAGAACGGGAAGGCATATTTCAGAACTGAGGCCACAACTATCTTCTTCAGAAACATGTCTGATGGCATTATAGAACTGGCTTGTCTTGGCCGACCATTTCAGTTGGGAATGCTGTATGACTGCAGGAGCGATGCTCTCATTCCAGGTAATACAACCACAATAAATCAAGAGTGACATGAAATAAGATGACATACATACATGGGTTTGAGGGAATGGAAATTATGGTGAACATTTCAGTTTCTGTTTTTCTTAAACATTATCTAAGCCAGTGGCATGCAACCCTTTTGACAAGCCATTGAATTTTTTTCTTGTGCTGAATTAAGCCCCATCATAAAAAACACTATGGATGGTAATACCCCCTTGTTTACAATTGTTTTAAAAGCACAAGGCCACAAAAGATCTATGATCTATGAAAGACCCCCATATTCTATGGCACAACAACATTATGATATTTATATATTCCAACCTTTAGTATTGCATAACGGTGCCCTTGTGAAGATACAACAGTAATTAACCAGAGGAATTTAATAAGC